CTGAAGCACTTCTCAAGTCTGACAGTTAAACTCTGTTAACTCCTTCAGTGAAAGGATGGCTAACGAGCATACACCTGGGAAATATATCATCTGAGGCAACCTGAGAGAGCACACTTAAGTGGTGCTGACTGATCTGTGATCAGACTTGTGATTGGAAACATGAGGCCCTTGAGGGTCTCCCCGGTTTTGGTGAATCTTGGACTCACAAGACGAGTCAATAATAGTACCACAGCTTTCAGGGTTTTCAAGCTGAAAAGCTTCAGCTCTGTAGATAGCAAATTCAAGGTTGTAAAAGCAAGAAACGGAGATCTGGACAAAAAAAAAAGAGTAGAGAAATGCATAAAATCCTGGGAGCAAATAAAAACTGCCGCAAGATACAGAAAAATACAAAATAGGATGAAAATTGTCTTCAAGGTGGCAGAATATGGAACTGACACAGGCTGAGGCTGTCTTTCAGGACTTGGTAGTCAGTTGTGGACCCTTTGGACTCCCTTGGGCAGTTCAGGGGAAGTTGTCATGCTGGCACCACATAATGACATTTAGAAGTGCAATTGTGCACATAAAGGACCTGCAGGGTGAACCCAAAGTTGAGGGAGAAAGTTAACAGCTCGAAGGAGTTTGGAGGTTGCATTGGGATGAGGATATATTGGAATAAGAACTTAGGAGCTTCAGATCCTGTGGGAACTAATGTCATCTTTTTAGAAAAGAAAGCTGAGGAGATACCCTATGTAGCAGATGTGTCCCATACCTTATGTTTTGGTTTCATGAAAACTTTGGTGTGCAACTTCTAGGATCAATGATGTTTCCTAGGCCAGGCATAAAGATACAGAGATTGTGGTAAGGTAGGAGTACAGCTGCAGAGGACAGAGTTCTAGAAGTTAACGTGCCTGGTAAGGGAAATAGCAGAATTTAAGGCAGAGTATAGTAACTAAAGCCAAGAGAACATTCCTCTGTTACTTTCTTTTACTCCGATTTCATTATGAAGTTGTTGGATGAGAAGACCACACCAAAATCTTCTCAGTAGAAAATGATACTTTTTCTCTGCCTCCTACTTATAATACGTAAAATCCTGTAACTGTTTATATAGAATACAGTAAAAGATATCGTATCCTCCATAAAGAAAATGAGCAATTGCTATCAATGCATCTTTCATACGAATGTAAGCAATGAAGTTGCACTAGCTAAATAACTCTGTATACTCTTAAAAATAGCAAATACGCTATATTTTTGTACATTTTTCTTAATTACAAATTTGAAATCTAGGGTTTGCTTTTTTTTAGTTCAAAAATAGGAAGCCCGGAAGTACAAAGTGCTGATGATGTTGCGATACTGGAAGATTGCATAGATTTTTCTTTAGCAAAAACAATATGCAAAATTGAAGAAAAACTAGAGAAAGGAGACTTGCCAGATTGTCTAGATGATGATATTATTCCAAGTGTTGGAAATGAAATTGGAGCAGGTAGGTTTCCTCCCATGGCTAAGTACTTTTATTCTTACTTCCTGACTGTTAGAAATTGGTTCACCTGGGGGGAAAAAGTAAGAGTTTCTGTATTAGTTACAGGGAAAGCTCTAAAGCCCTTAAGTTAAAGGGAAAAGGAGAAGAAGGTTTTCCTTCATGTAGTCCTAGAGGAAGATCAGGTCACGTATGAGTAGTCATGGGAAAAAGTGAATTTTTATCTTGATGTCCACCTTATAGGAAGACATTTGGATGGTTACATATGTTGAATACGTGCATAACATTTGATTCAATTCACTGGGGAAATAGAAATACATGATGCTAAGTTTCCACTTCCAAAAAAGATGGTCTTCAGTCCTGCGCACAGATTCTGCCTTTAGAGCAAAAAGCCTTTCCTCAGATCAATGCTGTGGATCTTAGTAAGTAGCTTAAATGAAGTAGTGTTTTGACTACAGTGCTTGAACAAGAATCCTCCAGATACTTTCCCACTCCAAATGGTGTGTTTATGTTTGTCCTAGAAATAGAGTAGGAAAGGGGATTGCAACATTTGCCAGTGAGGCTAAAGGCATGACGCCCATCTGTCTTTTTGGTTCTGGTGTGATGAAAGTGGGTTTGTCCAGTTTCTTAAAATGCTAAAGCAATCATGGAGTCAGATTCACTGCAGTACTACGAAATGCCTCAAAACACTTCTTTTAATCTAACAACTTGCTGTCAACAAACATGCCAACACAAAAATAGCTTGATTTCTAGCCTCATGTAATTCTGTGCAAGTCTTCTGGTAATAAGTCTCCCAAAACAGATCCTCAGATACATTTTTTATAGTTCTTGTTCCTGAACTAAAAAGAAGTTGCTTTGGACTGCATTCGAAGCTTACAGCAAATTCAAGGCTGACTACCTCAAGAAGAGTTATTACTGGTATTTAGTAATCAGGTCTTGTGGACCAAGGGCATGTATTTGAGTATGGAGAATTGTTTCTGTAACTTTAATGATGAAGTGAAATGAAATGAAAGTACTCTGGATTGCTTTTTGGTTTTAAATTTAATATTGACTATTTAGAACACTCCGAATGCCTCCTTAATATGCTAAATTGCAGAGCAGGCTAGCAGCATCAAACTCACAGAACAGTTAGAGTTTTCACAAGAAAGTAGATGTAGATCCTAAATAGGCCCTGTTACAGAGTGGGCTGATCCCTTAGTGGGAATCTCCTCGTAAGGGATTCTTTAGGCTTATGTGCCTGTGTTAGAGTTTTTAAGCCCACGTGCTGATAAGGTTCCATAGCATTGTCCTTTCCCTGAGCTTCTTGCAGCACTTTTCCTGGAACTAGGTAGTCATTTTTCTGCCAACACAGTTGCTTACATTATTTTTCTCAGGGGCTTTTTTTGTGGGTTATAACTCAACTCTGCAGTAACAAGCAATGATATAAACACACAGACATGTAGAAGGCTGAACATGTAGCTCTATTTTTATCTAATATATCCCCACACATATAAACAAAATACCTGAACGTGTTGTCTCACTTCGTGTTAATCTTCAGATTATCTCAGGAGTTCAAGACACCTATTCTTTCTTGTAGGGTATCAAGAATCCCTCAGATATCCTTTCCTTGTTACCATTCCCTAAACTGTTGTTTGCTTTATAACTTAGGACCATCCTATTAAGTGATACCCCTCCCCCTTATCAGTCTCATCAGGTGATTAAAATTGACCAATTAGGAAGCTAATTGTTTAATTATCTTCACCTCTTCTGAGAACTCAAACTAATTTTGGATCAGAGCTGCCTCCCAAGGCTGATCTGGTTCTAGTTGTGCTCTTGGATTTTCAACGAGGTTTATTACTAAGTGCTCTTAATGACACAGAGCTATCTAAGACTGAAGAGAAGTTGTCTGCGTACTAGTAACTGAGTAAAAGAGGAAACAACATGTTAGAAAAAAACAACCAGTTTTTCCAAGTAGTGATGTAGTCTTGGAGCGATCTGTCACAGAGCTTACATTGTTCAATATACAGGAGAATAATTTGGGAAAAAGGAATAATAGCTGGTAAAAAAAATGTATTTGAAACAACGATTTTAGTTAAAGCTGACATTGAGGTATTGTAGAAGAATCTCATAGTACCGAGTGAGGTGATAGAATGGAGGTTTATGTTCAGCATTAAAGAGTGCAAAGTAATGCTTATAGAAAAAACAACGACAATTACACCTACTTCTGAGTAGGACTTTGTTTAGTTATTACCAATGAAGATGTCTCCAAAAGCATAAACTTATTGCTTGTTCATAGTGGAAAAGGCAAATCGATTGTTAGAAATTCTTCAGAAGATAACAGAAAACAACACACTGTACTGTTATCATGATGCCATTATGTAATTGATGCTACCCCATCTTGGGGATGAGACACACCCCATCTCAAAATCAGGCTGTAGAACTAGGAAAGTGTCATGGCTTAGGTACAGGACAGAGTATATAGTAGCAATTAGAAGTGTGGAACATCTTGAATTTGAATCTTCAATTTGAAAACAAAACAACTGAGGGCGATATGAAAGATTTTTGTAATGAAAATAGTAATGGTAAAGGGACAGCTGTATTTTTGTAATGCAAACACTAGTAAATGCCACATTAAATTGGATTTAAAGCAAGCTATACGAAGTGTTTTTCTTTCACATAATGCATAATTAAATTAGCCAACTCGTTGCCACAGGATATTGTGAATGCCAGACTACAGTATGTTTTATGAAAAAAATCAAACAATAGTATAGAAGTACATGAAAGAATATTAAACTTGATGGTTCATTATGGTGTCTGTCTCAGGATAGCCACCAGTTACCAGAAGCTCACATGCATGTAACAGGAGGAAAAAAGTCAGTCTGTATCTTATATTTTCATAGTGTTTTCCTAAATCCTACTTAGTATTGGCCTCTGCAGAATTTCAACTTAAGCCACAGTTGACAGTTGATAAGGAAAGGTGGGTGAAATTAAAAAAAATCCTATTACAGCAAGTGAACACGTGTACACACCCATCCCTTACATTCAGCTCCAGATGCTCCTCCTCCTCTTTTTTCTTTTCCCCTTGTACCTACTATGAATAATGGTTATTCCTAGGTTGCTCAGCTGATCCTCATACTGTTTCCATGCTTTGTGCCTGTGGAAGTTAAGGGAGAGTTCCTTGTGAACGATCTGGAGAAATGGTGGGGAGTAGGGAGTAAAAGATCATACTGTTCATACACAGCTTGTTTTTTCATGACAGTAGTACATTTCTTAGCTGTCTAAGAGCAAGAAAGTACTTCATTTGGAAAAATCATCTGATAAAATTGATTTAACTTTAAACTATTAATTGAATAATGTTAGCACTGTACTTTAAAAAAGCATAGACTACTGTGTGGGAGGGGTATTTACCTATTAGGACTGTTTTGCAGTCTAAATTTAATTCCTTCTTGTGAGCAGTTTAAAACTACTCTGGGTGTTTTACACAAATTGGACCTACAAATTTATTGCAATGTAGACATATATTCTACAAAAGTATCCAATATGTTTCAATTTTGAGAATTATGAGTCTTTTACATTTTAAAGATGTTGAGTGCAGTCATTAAAAGGAAAAATCTATACAAAGCTTCACCTAAGACAGAGAAATTTGCAACATTTATTTAGAAATCTGAGTTTTTATTTGCCTATTTCTCTTTAATAATTACAAACAATGTGGTGTGTTTTTAAAATCAAGAAGCTGAAAGTGAGGTCTTACATCCATCTTGCTTCTTTTCTGCATTGAATAATGAGTACTTGTGGATATTAAATGTAACTTTTTATGTTCACAGAAGCTCAAATCAGATTTCTTAAGGCAAAGCTACGTGTTATGCAGGAAGAGCTGGATAGTGTAATGCGTGAATGCAGGAAAAAGGTAAGAGCTGAGTTTTCGTATCTGTAGAAATGGAGTGGCTTCTCCTTTAGCAAATAGTAACAGAATTCCCTCAACCTTTCCTTTTCAAGTATTAAGAACTAAGGGCCTGTTTTTTAAAATTTGCTAAGAATTTAGAGTCAAGGATAGTAGTTTCTGTATAAATGGGACCTTGGGCTAAAAGCTTGCGAAATATACTTAATGAAAAAGAATTTGAGGCAGGAAAGAACCACTGGGAATGAGGACGTGCCCCGACGTGCCCTGGCTGCTAGGGACACTGTGGTGCTGCTGAGTGCCCTAGCCATCACTGCTGGCAAGGAGGGCATTTCCAGAGCCTGAGAAAAGGGAGGACACAGTAGCAGTCAGATACAGGTTTTGGTCTACAGAGCGAAGACGAGTGGTGCCCAGAACTGGGTGATGGGGGGAGAGGGATGTTTAAGGCAGAATGAGAAATAAAAAAAATGAGAAATTGAGTCAGGTGCTTTGGGCATCCTTGGTGGAAGAAAGTGTGGAAACAGCTGATCTGTGATCTACTTTAAGTGGAATATTGTAATCAAAACAGAAATTAGTCTTTCACTGTTCTCAAGATTACACCGCAGAGGACTGTATTTGGAACTACCTATTTGGGCAGATCAGACTAAAGTTAAGGCATTGTGAAGCTACATGGATATTTTACTGTTAGAGCGTACTACAAGTGAGTTTTATGATCTGCACTGTGTGGCAATACGTTTTCAGGAGATGCTCAAACGTCTCAAACTGTAAGTAGTTTGTGTCTGTCTGCCAGAGGGATCACCTCTTTTTCATGCAGTTGTAATCAAGCAAGGTTTTGAACTAACTTTCTGTTTTACACAATTAGGTTATTCTTACTTGTGGTCTCTTAACTTCAGAACGCTTTTTTCCGCCTATTCCCCAGTCCCAAATGTGATGATGACATTCAGAACATATGGCAAGCCACCTATATGTTTTCTCTCAAGCTTTTAATTTAGAGTTAAGGAGCAGGACGATATTAAATAAGTTTTTTGAGATGGGTACCTGGAGAAAATCTTTAGAAGGAATTAGATTTTGATATTTTAGATCTGTACTTTATTTCATTTTTATCAATACAGATGCTGCTGCATTTCAATACTTTTATGCTGTGATCGGAAGAAAGTTGTTACATTAGATTTTAAAGACATTTTCAAATCAAACATAATTTTGTCAGTAGCTATTGAACTTCATCATTCCATGCCAAAAGTACTACAGAATTCAGTTACTATGGCAGATGACAGAAGACAACCTCATACCTATTCTTGTCCTGCTCCCATAGCACTCTGTATGTAAATGTATTATTTTGGCTACTAGTTTCTCTAGTGTGAAAATAACTTTATGACATTCAGAAGGTCACAAAAATTTCATATTGGCAAAACCTTGAGATAGATTCTGGATTTTGCTCCAATTCACAGTCCAATTATTATAAGGAAGCGGGAAATCTGTTTTAAATATAAAGAAGTGGGGGTTTCTGAGGGGTGTGTGGTCACATGAAACTTAGGGTAAAGCACATATATTTCCCAGGTGAGAAGCATGTATTCCTAGGGGCTGAGAGGACAGGAGAGAAAGACTTGTTTTCATAGAAACTCCATTTCTGAATATGCTTTGATATCTTTTCCTTAAAGAAATGAAGGGCATAATGTATCTCTGAAATAACCTACATTAATATTCACTTACAATGTGTAAAAGGTTATAAAAGAAAAATGCCTTGAAATTATAATGCTTAATGTGGGATGTAATTGCCAGTAGGTCATGAAGCTAATACAGGATTCACTTGATGTTAAGAGAATCTTGAATTTGAATACTTGATGTATCCTGATCATTAGAGCTTGCTTTTAAGTCAAAACCAGATAAGCTTCTAAAACGTAATGGATTGATTTATCAGTAATTATATTCTCTTCTTTTTCCCAGAATTTTTCCTAATGCATGCATTTAGCTATTCTCACAAAAATGTCACAAAATATCTATGGGAAATTAAATGTTTTACATACTGCTACAAGAGAGTTCCAAGTAAAAGACTGCAGAATATTAAAAAAATTAAAGTGTTACTGTTTTTTGAAGTGTTGTCCTGGCAAATTGGTCGTTTGTTTTCTTAGTTTGTCTTCGTTCTTTCCTTTCTTGAAATTGTTGTGAAACCCATCACGAAGGATCTAAACATTTAAAAATAACATAATTTTTAAAAATCGTTATCTCTATATCTACAATATGTATATTTTTACTACATTTTATTTCCAAAACATTGCTATTGCATTATCCTACTGCTTCCTTGAAATAATTTAGTTGGGGTTTTTTGTTAATTACTGTCAAATAGGATGATGAAAATCAGAATTTAAAATCTCGGCTTAAAGGTGTGGAAGAAGAAAACACCAGAATGCAACGAACGATCAGTATGCAGCGTTCTCAGATGGAAAAGTACAAAATGTTGTCACAAGAAGCAAACAAAAAAAGCGAAGGGTTACAACAAGAGGTCATAGCGCTAGAAAAGGTATTGCAGATATTAGTCTCACTTATCTCACGAAAGGGAAAAAAAATGCATCAAATCACCCTCTGTACTCTAGTTTGATAAATTCGTATCCAGTGATCCCATTAGCATTTCAATCTCTGATAATAGTTTTACAAGTTATATTTTTTAATGCTCTAATCACCTTTTTAAAGGAAGAAATAATATATTTTGCTAATTGCTTTTCTTCTGCTTCTACAATCATATATTTCTGTATTTTAAAATTAAACTCCTGTGTAAAAGACCCACAAGAGACAAACCAACCTTTTCAGAAACTGCAGTCAAATTCACAAAGGAATCTAGAAGAATACAGACAAATTTTATTTTTCTGGTTTTAATTGGAATTATTAAAAATTACTTCTGGTTATAGGAGTTTTACTGCAAACTGTAGAACCTGGTGAACATTTTATAAAAAAAAACACCTGCAGCTTATATTAGTATCTTCTGGAGGTAGAGGAAAGGATGTGTCTTTGTTCTTGAAAAAAGACTGAAAACCAGCCGCTCCAATTTGGATGAATCAAAATCAACCCAGCTCCTGCTGTAGGCCACATACACAAAATTGTGTACGTGCCTGGTTGTGGCAGATGGCCTGCATACACAGCTTGCTTTGTTGTGAACTTAATCTAAAAGCAGCATGTGTTTTTCTTTAATTACTCAGAGCTAGAGAGGTTGACTTCAAAATCGTGTAATACATATAGTATCGTGTAGTACATGTAATATAACCAGGAGAACGTTTCACTTAAAAATTCAGGGAAAACAGAACACAACTCAGCCTAACAAAGTCTCATTATGCTTCCATTAAATCATGCTATGTATTTGTATAGTCATACTTTCATCTTCACATTCTGTAGTTTTGGCATTTTAAAACAAAAATGTTCTAAGTTTGTGTGTTCTTTTTCTGCAGATACTCGGAAGTTTTAAGTTCCCTTAAATAAGAACCCTGATTGTTGATTCTGTCAGGAAAAATATTTAATAGTAGTACTCATGCTGCTCATCAGCTCACAGTAAATAGGGCTAAGAGACTTACAAAGTCCATTCTGTTAAACCAGGACAGGATAGATTATGTCCAAACCATCCTGGACATAAGTTTAACCTGTACTTAAAGCTTTCTGTGATGGCAATTTCCATAACTTCCTTAGACAGTCTTTGCTGGTTCTTGTACATAGTCACAGAAAGTTTATCCCGGTATATAGGAAATCTCTCTTGTGATGAAAAGTTCATTCACTTCTGCTCTACAGCTACCCTATCCAAAATATGGTCACTTTCCTCACTTGTCTTTGCTCTGGATCTACTATCCCCAGTTGCTTCCATTATTCTTAATAGGTTTTGTTTGCTAGATTTTCTCAAGGCTACTGATCAGACATGATCATGACAAATAGTGGTAGTCCTTTAAAATCCTGAGAAGGCAAAAAAGGCAGGAAAATGTAATGAATGGTTCTCTGCTAATTCAGAAGTTATTTTAAATATTTTTTTTTTATATAAAAAATTAACTAACTGCCAAAAAGACACAATTAAAAATAATTTTTCAGTAATTGCATAAGTCTCCTATGGACTTAGCAATCTGAAAACTGTTTTATTCTTTAGGTATGAAGTATTATTCAACATGATGTAATTAATGTAGTTGTAAATTAATTCTAGACATACATTTTAAAAAATTTCCTGTGAAAAAGGCCTGAATTTGTACTGCTGTGCTACTAAACTCTCAAGACATACTTTCAATCTAGAGAAAGTTTTCTGTATAGTTGAGATGGTACAAATGTAACCTCTGATTTTTGGGGTTTTATTGCTTTTGTTGTGCTTTCTGTTGCAACATAAATGATACAAGACTTAAGTTGCAATACATGCCTTCCCAAGCTTCCTTAGATTTTCAACAATTTACACAATTTCATTAATAGCCCAGCTACTTTTTTGTACATGCCTAGGTAAAGATTCTCAGCTAGTTTTCACAATTGACCTGAAACATGGTAGTTAATTTGTTATTTTTACATTTCATTCTTTTGGTGTTTGGTGTCTGTGAACATTTCTGCTGGAACACTCACCTGCCTCAGGCAGCAGTTGAATGCTAATACTCCCCAAAACTTCTATTCTCTTTTTTCCAGCACTCTTCTTTTTTTCCATCTAGCTGATATAAATAAATGATATCACCACTCCTGTCCTTTTCCACCAGCTGTCTACAAGAACATTCCTTCCTCCATGTTCTCTCTCACTTGTTATTCAGTCTAGCTCAAACATTGAATAAAGGTCAGGGAAGCACCACAGTTGTGCTCTTATCCCTGTTAAGGCTTTGTGGAGGGATTTTATGATTTGCCTTGATGAAGGGCTTGATGTTAAGCAAACATCATCTCTCAAATGTTTTTGGAGGTGGACAGGTGTTGCTGAGTTTTCTAATGATGAAGGGGCTGTGAATGCTTGCTACTGGGGGGGCAAGAAAGCTTGCTGGGAGGGTTACTCATAGCTGAGCTCTCTGGTATCACACCCCCTACTGATATTCAAGTGCCTCAGCCATGCCAGCACAGTGGAGAAAATCCAGAGATCAAAAGGGGATGTAGTTTTAAAACATAGTATTTTTTTCCCCTCTTGGAGAGACATTATATGAGAAAGTGAATCCAGGTTTTACTTAAAGTACTGAGAACCGACAGAAACCTTGCCCACTTACAAAATAAAATACTCATTTCAGGCATTTTTAAGATGAAAAACTTGGAGTTGAATATATTTAACAATATACCCTCACTGGATGACTTGCAAAAACATCCTTGCTAAGGTATGATGTATGACAGTAAATGTCAAAAAGCCCTGAAAAAATTACTAGAATTATTTCATTAAATTATATCATTAGCTGATACATTATTTGCATTGCATGCTGATTTTTTTTTTTTGGTCATTAAATGCTTGAAAGACTGTATTCCAAAGCTTTTCATATTAGTGCAGAATAAAATACGTATCACAAAAGATTCAGCTGACCCTATTCACAGTTCCATCATCTTGATACAAGACAAAGAGGTCTGTGTGCTGTGGAGCTTGTTTTCTGTGGAAACACGGGGGGCGGTTTCCAGCAAACAAATTTGCCTTTTCTGATGATCCATGTGCACATGTTCCAGGGAGGGGCTGTGCTTCCCACTAGCTGAGCTTTTACCCATCTTTTTTTAATTAATCAGATGGACAGGTTAGCAATGAAATAAAAATGTTGGAGGGGGCAGATTCACCAATAGAATTTTGGAGCATTAATGAGATGCCTCTTACTCTCCTGTTTTCCTCATCCGTTTTGGAGAAGATTCAAAGCTTCACAGAAATACCTGTTCCAGTCTTAACTTCACCTTAATGTCTTTGCTGCATACACTTATCAATTAGTATATTTTTCCTGGATAAGTGATGTGGAAATTAGAAATAACCACCACAAGAGTTGGTGTGGAATTGAGAAAATAGAACAGTTGCTCAGAAATAAGGCAGTCTAAGGGTAAAAAGTGGACAGCAAGCCCCCTGTCTACCCTGATTTGGTTAAAAGAATCTTTCTGTGCCGTAAAAATTTGATAGTCTTTTAAAAAAGTCTGTTTCTTTTTCACAAATGACAAGATGTGCTCTTTCTGCCAGAATTGTTTATTTCTTCTACTTTGTCTTTTATCTATATTCCCTGATCTTTAATCTCATTATTCTGTTCCTCATCTTGGTGTCTTTTTCTCATTTCCCTGCTCACAGCACTATGAAATACTATCATCAGAGATAAGAGGGAACTGGTTTGATTGTTGCTATAAACACTTGATGAGCTATTTTCTGCTAGATGAAATAGTTACTATCCTCGGCCATCTTCAGTAGGCTGTTTTAACATTTTGTTGGTAATTGCATGTAGTAATCGCTGGGGAAAAGAGGTAAAAGGAACAGGTGGGAAGAAGCAGCTGGGAAACCGAGCCACTGTTCCAAAATCTGCCACAGAGTGAGCATACCGACATTTTTTTTTCTCTTTTTCTGACTGAGCGTACAAGGTTTTTCATTCAGTCCTGTGGTCTGTCATGATCAGATCCACAATTATTCTAAGAGGAGTTTAAAACAAAGATGAGAAAGATCCCTTTTCAAGATTTCAAAGGAGAAGGGGATGTTTTAATGGTGGAATTAATAGTCTTTGAGACAGATTCTATCTAAAGGCCAACGAAGTCCACAGACTTTTCAGTTTTCAAGGGTGAGACCTGCTGTAAATGTGTTGTCTGTATGGGATTTGCTAAAATACCATTATTGACAATTTTTGGTTTTATCCTTTGCTTCTTAAATAGGAACTGGAGACTCTGAAGCGTGTACAAAAGCAGGCCACAACCAGTCAGAGTGCAACAGAGGTTCGCTTAAACAGGGCCCTGGAAGAAGCGGAAAGGTATAAAGTGGAGCTGAATAAACTGAAGCAAAGTAACAAGGTACGATGGCTTTGGAAAACAAGTTCCAGCCTGTAATCACTCAGTCATGCTAGAATGAGACAAAAGGCTTGATCAGCTTGGGAAGTGGTGTGTATCTTACAGACAGTCCCAAAATTAACTTAGAGCAACTCACCAAAGGGCTTGATAAATTATCGTGGATTATGCTACTAGGCAGGGGGAAGAAATATACGGAAAAAAGTTAGAACCTTTCTGATTTTCCCCATTTGTGTGAAAATTGGATGTGTTTAGAAAAAGGGGGAAGTACACATACACACCTAATACACACACAGGCAAACCGCAGCTGTTGCCTTTTGAATTTTTCTTTTCTATTTTTAAATTTTGATGTGGGAATATTTTGATTAATCCCACTTCTTTTCAGAAACGTCGTGTGTGGCTACTGTTTGTCATTTTGTTACGTAATGCCAGGTTACTCTGGTTAAAGCACCACTCTCACGCATTTCTCCTTTTCTTCCCGTGGTAGGATGTAGCTAACCAAGAACTCAAAACAATTGAAGAATTAAAAACAGAAAACAAGAAACTGCAGAAACAAAAAGGAGAGCTAATGACAGGCTTTAAAAAGCAGTTAAAGTTAATTGATATTTTAAAGAGACAAAAGGTAAGGACCAGAGTATTGGTACATTGCAGTTAACAACCTCTAGCTAAATGTGTCTGTTGGCAAGTAAGCTCATCATGTAAACCAGAGCCCCAAGACTGGGGAGCTTCAGTGCAAGGGAGCAGCAGCCTCACTTTTATTAGTGCATATTGCAAACATTTTACTTTATAGCAAAAGCTGATCTTCTTTTGAATTGACTCCATTCCTAACATGGAACATAGCCTGTCACGGTGAAGGCCTGCTACTGACAGGCTTTAGGGCCGAGAGTATCTATTTGTTCAAGAACAAATACTGTTCAGGTAATAACAGCAACTCCCTTTGGTGCTGTGTCAGTAGAATCCATTTTAGCATGTGAGATGTTCTTTTACTTTTTTCCCCGCAGTGTATTACTTGTCGTACCAGCAGCTGTAACAGCATGCCCTCTCAGGAGCAAGCTGAGACCTACGTTCTTCCTGGGTTCTCAAAGCGTGTCCTTCTCTGTTAATATGGTGTCTCTTTATTTATGTTCCGAGGTGTTCTCTACATGTAAAGTTCTGCCCAGGTGCAGATTTCTTTGTGTGTCAGACAAAAAAGGGAAGAAAAAAAAAAAAAAAAAAAGAGGGAATGATTATTCTAGCTGTGAATTTACTGGATCAAAGGAAGGGAGCTGATCTCCATCCTTTTGTAATTCCTGGAATATCACACATATTCTGAATGACACAGAATATAGTAACAACTGCATGGCTGCATGGGTGTTCCTATCCACACCGCACTTGCAGCTGGCCTTATTTTGAAAGTTGTTTGATTCTACCTTGATTTCTTATCTCCCTCCATTACTCTCCCTCTGGGCAGGGCAGGGGCTACTGCCTTTCAGTTTCTTCAGCAGCTGAAGCTGAAATTGAGTAGGGGATAGGTAGTAGATGCTTGCTGAGAACTCATGCTGAACAGTTGGTGATACAGCTTTCCTAGAAAGGTGGTGGAGTGAAAGTGGATTAATACTTCAGATAAAATACAGCTAAAAATGTATTTAACCATCATACTTCATAAAGCTATACTGATATCCTAAAAAGAAGGGACTTGGAAAGACAAACCTGCAGAGTGGGTAAATACCTTACATTTCTCAAAATATATTTTCAGCATAGACCTGTCAAATGAGCTTTGATGGTACACATTGAAAGAACCTGTGAGTTTACATGAAAGCAAATGAGAGAACGGTATTCTAAGAGATGTTGCCCAAATCAAACAATTTTCCATGTACTGGTGCATTTAGGTCTTAGTTCCATCACACCATTCACTTTGCAAATACTCGGGGTCACCTGCTATCATTTTTCTCTGTTTTGCTTCTGAGGCTGCACCAGACATATGCCGAGCTACGGGCTTCACGATTGCCTAGATAGGATCTTAACATCACAGAGCAGTTCACCTCTAGTTGCTTACTCTGGTGAATCTGATGTGATTCATTTCGGGATGGAGTTAATGCACTTTTTGCACTTTCAAACCAAAGCTGTAAGAGAGGTAAAGCAAGCACTGTACGGTGACTTGTTGAGCAGAAGCACCTTAAAAGGGCCAGGCTTTGAGATAAGGAAAGAGAACATTTAATTGGCCCTTTGAGTGCTGCAGTGATCACCAGACATTTTCTAAACACTCTTGAAGCTGTTGAGCCCCGCCAGACGCAGAATAGTTCTGTACGAAGTGGCAACTTCATGTAACAAAATACGCATACTTATCCTAAGAACTGGGAATTGCAATATGGAAATACACCCTGGGATTTGGAATACCTCTCCAACACAGGATAAAGGAGGACAGATAATTGGAGGAAGAGGAACTGGGGCTGCTTGTGCATTTCCAGGGGAAGAGGATTGTTCTGGCAGTAACAGCATGCAGAGGAGGTCTTGCGGATTCATCTAACAGAAGTAGCGCTAGCTTGGCCTTTGGCTGGTCTTTCTAGCTCTTCGAGAAAAAAATACAGTATTCACTCAACATACACTCTATATATGAGGTAGCTCATTCTTCTCTGGAACACAAATTCACTGAAACTGGTGTCAAAGAGCAGTATTTCTGTTTGGCTGTGAACCAAAACCATAGTCTCAGATATATTTAATGAAGTTTTGTGAAGCTTAGTTTAGAAAAATTAGCAATACTGTATCAGAACTGCAGATAGTAGATGAAGCTACTCACCTTTTTGTATCAAAAATGTTATTTACTCACAGAAGGATGCTGCTAGTTCTCCTTTCAGGACAGCCTATGACTGGAGGAACCTGCAAGAGAAGGTGCTAACTCTGCCTTTTAGAGCTTCTGGCAGATGGCCCAGGGGAAGGGCAGCTGAAACTCATAGGTGCTCAGTGTGCATAATCACCTGAAGAACTTCTTGTCTGCTTCACGCAATCCTTTTGTTGAGTGAATGAGGAAAACCCAATTTGGGCCATTTGTGTAGTATTTGTGTGGCAGATTCAGATGCACGCAGCAGGCACAGCTGGCCTGAAGGTGAGGGTATGCTACCACGTGAAGATTGATAGAGGAGAAAAATCCCCCAAAGGTATTAAATATCAGTAGTAGGATGAATTGGGGCTGGCAGCAGTAGTTGCTGGTGTTCAGTTGGTCTCTTCAGACTATTCTCTGCTTGCCTTGAGAGAGAATTTAATAGAAAATCTTAGTTCTAAAAGGGATTAAGGGAAGTTAGTGTGAACTTTACAAAGCTGGAGGGTATTACACAGCCTGTGGGGACTCCAATATGCTTTGTTGTCCTTTTGAACTGACAATAGGTCTATATATTAAAAAACCCAAACACAACAGACTCCTTGTAGACATGAATTGTTTCCTGTTCTTCAAAAGAAGCATTTTATTAAAATTTGCAGTAAAAACTATTTAGCTGGGACACATTCCTTTTCACTTGGAAGGTTGACAGGTAAAGAGGTAATACCCCAGTGCGGGGATGAGGATGTGTGGCACCACTGTTTTTGATGATGGTAGTTTTCTGCAAACACACTGACAATTTGGTAATAAAAGTAAAAGCAGCTGCGTTACTTGAAAATAGCCTTGTTATTCATTAAAAAGTTCTATTTGTTCCTTTCAGTGTTCCATTTAAAGTAATGTGCTATATCCTATGGAGTGGAAATACAAATTAGACTACTGTATGATTTTTAAACATGCAAATATGTACACATGTAAGGGGTGCGTGTGTGTATATATGTGCCATAATGGACCGTAGATATACAGTGTGACACATGGCAACACAGCTACTAGTGTAGGTTAAGGTGTAGTACAGTTACTCTTTATTCCATGCCGATGGTTAATTTTTAATGGCATTATATTATTTTGTTAAAATCCTCATTTAACATTAAATCACACATATTAGAGGCATCTTAATGATGTATTTGATTTGTAATAGCTTTAAAGCTGTACATTGATCAACTTGAAAGAATGTATACCAGTTTTCATAAACCTGTTCTTCAGAGGTCACAAGAGTTGTCAGATTTTCAGTAATTTCCATGCCTCATTAAAATGGAGCTATTTTTAAAGCAATATAAGGAATTAAGAAAGCTTTTGGTCCTGTTTTACTAGAGCTGAAGTTGCAGTGTTTAGCATAAATTTATCACATTATCCCTACACTAAGTTTTTGCAGAAAAATATGAATAGCAGCTTCAGCTTACACAGGTGAACATCCATCAGAACCATAGTATGAAAAAGCAGAATGACAGAGTGGAAGCCCCTTTCAGCTATCCCAGTTGTACAGGATTTTACATTGTTCATTTGCATTATTTTACCTTCTGCTCCTAATTTTTTTTTCTTTCTTTTCTTTTCTTAAGATGCACATTGAAGCTGCTAAGATGCTTTCTTTTACTGAAGAGGAATTCATGAAAGCTCTTGAGTGGGGAAATTACTGATTCCATAAAAAGAAAACTCCTGTTTGAAATACAAGTCAGATGGTACATTATTTTGGCACTACATATGAATGCTTGTTAATAATAATAGTTAATAATTGTATATCCCAGCAAATTGATTTTGTTGATTTTGCTTAAGTTGTTTAACTTTTATAAGCCTGATGGCTTGTGTTGTGATACCATAGGAAATAACAAACTTCTGTAGAAGTTTCAGGCCAAACCGTCCCTTCTGTAACGAGCAAAGAAGCACAGACCATGCAAGGAATAATCCAACAAGTGAACTTTGTTATCAGTTTGCTGTGTTCTAGCATTTAAAACTATACCTTATCTAAGGTAATATTCAGTCCAAAGAAGCCAGGGGTTAGTCTCAGAAAATTCCTTGTTGCAACGGAAATAAATGAACCAGTGGTAGAGTTGAGCGGAAAATGTCATGTCCTTTTTAAAACACGTGGTTGGAAAATTGGCCTTCTCTGTTCTCTGTAACAGATCTCCCTGCAACACTAGTTGGTCTGGCATCTAATTTAAGCACCAACAGCTCTTTCACAGAAATGTTCATACTTGTTTTAGCTATTGCATCCGACGCCCTTGGCTGGCAAAAACATCCACGAGACTTGCCCCTCACTATCCAGAGAGACTCCATAATCTGATACAGTTGTATTGTTTAAAATTACTACTTTATTTAGTCAAAGTGAAAATATTAAAATCTTTTCCTGGCCATCAGCTGCTGCTTTGGATACAGTCAGGAGGGAGGGCTCCATATTTACAGGTGCTCTACAAGCATTACATCCCTAAAGATTTTGTTACGTCATCATTATAATCAACAACTAGGTAGAAGTTCAAGCGTAGATGGGCTGAGCAGATCATGTGTACAGTAATGAACAGGAGCAGTAAAAGCCTGTGCTGCTTGCCTGAACCTTGGTCAAACCCCAGCTCTTTCACTGGACTCCTCCCTTGGAGAAACTGAATAGGAACACGGCACATAAATAGTAAGTTTATACAGTGAAAGGTAGGTATAGATGGTGATTCCGACCTCAGATTTCTCTGCTTAGATCCTACTAGCAAAGTAACATGAACTAACAGTGAAACAAGTAACTCAGACCTACCCTTTGAGATGAGACAAACTACATTTAAGTTAGTATTTTAATAGTGTAGTGCCAGAGCATTAGAAGCAGAAATAGTGCATTAAGAGAATCTTCTAGTCCACCCTGAAATGCACATGTGAATTTATACTAGCTTAGGTTTCTGCAGAGTTGCTGGAAAAAACATTTTACCATTGCTGCATCACCAACTGACAATAATTGAGAAATCCATAGCAGTTTATTGATGGAAAATGCAAGTACAACATACACTTCGATAAAACCAGCTGCTCATCAGTTTAGAACTCCAGTCTTAAAATGGAGACCTTTTATGATACCAAAAAGGAGTTCCTCACTGTTAACAGCAAGTGGAAATTTTCATTAGAAGTCAGATGACACCTAGTGGCAAACCAGGAGATGAGATGGGGGAAGTTTCAGCTCTCTTCTGAAAAGGCATTGCCTCTTCTCTTCTGATAAGCCAATCGAAATTCCTCTCCAAGCATGTTAATATCATCTTCGTCTTTGATAATCCCCTGCAATAAGGGGAAAGAAACACAAATCAGAAGGTAAAACAAAGTAGAGTGATTATTATGGCTCTCTGAAATGTTCCGTGAAGGTGAATGTAAATAGCTTGTATCCATGGTACCAGGGTTACCTTTAAAACAAAGGGCCCTGAAGACCATCACAAAACTTCAACGGAGGAGTTTCAAATTGGTGCTTTTGTTCTTCACACAGATGATGACAGGAACCCCATAAAGATTCCAACATCAGCACTATACAAAAGACAACATTTACCTGCCTTCTCTTTCTAATACAAGTGATTATAGTCAGCACAGCACAGGTGTGGGTTTAGTAAAAATCGAGCAATTGCACAGCAAAGAGGCACCAGCTGGAGCGGGGCTCTGACTTTACCTTCCCTTGTCCTGAACTGATTTTGGAAATCAACTGATACTGAACAATTTGCTCAGAAACTATATTTTGGGGAAGGGAAGCAGGGGGACTCAGAAATCAATCTCTAACTACTTCTAAATTAATTTTAGGGCTAAATATGTGTAGGACCCACAGAACATACCTTACAGCATTTATAAAAAAAAAAATTACAAATTGCATTTATCTTGGAGACTTTAGAATTAGGTAGGACATTTCAATTTTAGCACGCGATTCAGATACAGAGTTGAAAAAGAAAACATCAAGGTAGAACATCAACAGCATGGAATAGGTGTGAGCCTTGGACACTCTGAAATAGCCAAGACTTTCTACAACAGTAAATTCAAACCAGAAAACTGTATCAGAATATTGCCAGTTTGAGTTATACTTTCATTAAATGTACATTAGAAAATAACTCACTCCGTATTTTACAAATTTGCGCAGCAAATTAGCATGTAAATATTTGAATAAAAATGATACTCTGCTACATTTGCAATGTTTTCCAGTATTGCAGAAAAAGAATTTCTTTAAATAGTTGGATAATTCCCTCCCTACTGTAAATGCATCTGTACAACCCTAAAGCACCTCTCCATTCATTTCTGTACCATCAGGCGATCTTTCTGATTATGACGCATAATATAAAATAAATTGTAGTTTATTCCTGTTACAGTAACTGCTTCCATCTTTTTAACTTTTAAAAACACCGGGATGAACAGAGTGAGCTTCAAAATGCTTCTGTAAGCACTGCAGTTTATTGCACTGCAGCAGAGATGAGGCCTTGTTTCCATGGCAACAGAAGACTTAGAAGACAGCCAACACTGTAAGAAATGGCTCCCAAAACCCCAACTGAGAAATTTGGTGGACACGGGGTTTAAGATATGACGGAGCCCTTTGTAGCTAGAAAAGCCCTGCTTTAGAATTTACATTCCATATCCCAAAAACTGGATGCGCAAAGCGCTGCGGAAGCTTTCAGCAGGTTCTGTACTTACATCAATATTGCAGCAGAGCCCAAAGCCCCTCATACAGGAAAAGTATTTTTGTGAACTGCTTCCCAACTCAGAAAGAAAAAAAAGAAAAAAGAAGGCGAGCACAGGAGAGCTGACACAATAAGGACATCTGCTGACTCCATGAATTTACACAGTTCTGCAACTTCACCTTAAGCTACCCAAGAGAAAACTGATTTACAGGACAAACATTTAAAGCATTTAAAATACAATTCACTTACTCGAGGAAGATAACCCAGTAATTTAGACGCATGCTCTTTCAGCAGTTTCTGTCTCTCTTCTTCAACAATTGCACGGATGTTTTCTTGTCTTTTCTCCTCTAACTGTCTTTCTTCAAGTTCACGCTCCTACAATAAACAAGTTTCTGTAACTGTCCAGTTTCAGCTCTGTGAACATTTGTTTCCACCAAGATCCACCAGAGAGTAAATTTTGAACTTCCACTTAACTCCTGGTCACAGGACATTCATTTGAGAAGTATGGAGAAGTGTATGTAAAAAGACACAAAGCACTGCTTAAACCTTACGTGTTTGGGAACTAGAAACAAATGTCAGACAAAGGAGAAGACTGAATGGCAAGACCTGGGGCTAGTCTGCTAGGCAGGTGTTCAGTCTCATACCAGAAGCCCTTTTAAAGGTGGTTAAGTGAAGTTCTGGTTCCGTCTTGGCTCTCAGACAAGTTCGGCTGTTCCTGCCCTACTGTTTAACCCAGGAAAAGGAGAAACAGGCATGTGTTCTCTTGGTGATGCCTAGAAATTACAATTCACATTACACATCTGATTTATACCCTATAAATGGGTCAAAAACCTACAGTATAGGATTCCATGACTTGTTTTCGTTTTACACCTTTGATTCCTTGGATCGTAATTGGAGAAACTTAATCTAAAATGAAGGCTGGGACTTCCCCTTCTCAGACATCATAATCAGTGCTGCTGATCCAGGACGCTCAACTGGACAAGAGTTGTCGCTGATCCCACGGCTCTTGAAGGGAGATTCGCAGAGCACATCAGGCAGACCGGGGTTTAGGGATGTTGCTGACTCTAACCTCCTGAGCTACAAAAAAAGTTGGCTCTAAAAAGACTTTTTTCTTGTCAGCAAACCAGAACCAAGGCCTGCTTCCCCCCGGCACGTTTCTCTGCAACTCCCCTAACCTTGTCACAGTAACCTTGTCACTTAGGGCAGCGGAAGTATTCTCATATTGAAACGCTTTGGCTCAAACCAAAGGCGAAAGTGAGAACTCTTACTTTATCAGCAATAAACTGTTTGTGACGGTCTTCAATAAGTTTTTCCACAGCCCTTTTGTGTTCAAGCTGTTTCATTCTGCGTTTCTGAGCATTCATCTGCTCAATGCGATCATCCTCTGCAAACTTGGCCAACATCTGTTGTCTGAAGGCATCTTCCTCTTCTTGCATAGCTTGTTGCACTACCTTCTTTAAAGCCAATTGCTCTTCATATGTTTGCTTTAAATCTAGGCGTTGCCTTATTCTCTTTTCAATTTCTGCCTATAAAGGAAATTCAATAAAACGCTCTTATCACTGAACATACTTCGGAAAAGTTTGATCCTCATCAGCCAGCCTGCCCCATTTATCTTGGGATCAATTTACTGTAGCTGTTACCTTCTAGCATAAATAACTGGAGCAAACACTCCAATCTTACAGTGCTCTCCAGTATTTACCAGTTTGGCAAGTGTCTCAAGATTCTCAGAATTAAGTCCAAAACAAAAGGAGATGACTTTTTTTTCCCCCCCACTAGCATGAAGTGAATCAGCAAGCCAGCGCTCCTGAACAACTCTCTAAAAAGAACAATATTCTGTATCTCAGCCTTTGTCACGTTTTGTTTGTCACCCATAGCAAGAAAAGCCGGAATGTGGGCAGGCACATAGGAAAAAGGAAATGGATATTCAAAAAGCAAGCACTTAATTAACCTGCTTAAACCTGAACTTGAAAGTTACTGGCATTCTCCTTCAGGAGATAAAGACATAGAGAGGACAATAACGGTAT